TCGATGACAAGTTGATCAAGACTTTGAAGTAGAAGTTCAACACGTTCATTTGACATATTTTACAACCCAATGATATGAGTTGAGAAAATAACATATTCAACATGTTGATGTGCTCTGTTATTTGAGTAGATTTTGACATCCGAAGAGTATACAATCTTCTCTTAAGGAAAATCTTGTTCTGAAGTGACCTGGCCTCGTACAACATTTCGAGATGATCCCAAATCTCCTTCGCAGTTTTCTTCTCCTCTATGCTTGACAACACTTTATCTGCTAGAGCCAGATGAATATTTGCAACAACATTCCCGTTTATCTCATTCCACTTATCATCTGTGACATCTACCAGCCTCACACTGATGGCTGCAAAGCAATTATCTTTTCTCAAGATAGCCTTCATCTTCATCTTCCACAACGAGGAATTAGTCCCATTGAATTTCTCAATATCGTACTTTACCGTCATTACTTCTATCACGAACTGTAGACAATCCTCCACGCCTTTCAATTAAGTTGAAAGATATCTAACTTATTTTATGATGTGGAGGATCCACTTTTAGTGGCAACCACAAATCATATGATAAGTAGATATATTAACACCCAAAACCAGGTTCTGTACCACTTGTCGTAAAAAGGATTGGAATCGGATAGAGTAAGACGTAGCTAAAATGCATTTGAGAAGAAGAAAATGACACAATGATTTTACGTGGAAAACCCCTAAACGAATTAGAGCAAAAACCACGGGCATGGAAGAAGAAATCCACTCAATGAAGTAGGAGTTACAAACTTTCTTTCTTATGGAGAACGAAATCTCTCCTAAGAAGAAACATTCTATCTTTATCTCACCAAGCCTCACATTAACTTTAGTTCACTTGGAATTGGGGATTTTTTTTATGGTTTACCAAGCATGGGTGCCCTCCTATTTATAGCTCATCTAACAAAATTCTATGGTTATAATTATGCCACATATTAACCTTGGGTACATGAAGATCTAGTGGCCATAATTTTGCCACATATTGCACTGTAGTAGCTTATAGTTTCTTCAATTTTCCAATGAAGCTTCTTGAGCAAGCTTACTTAACCTAGTGGTTTCTAGAGACTTCTTGAGCATACTTGGGAAATATTATCTAACAAATTGCAAATACAATATTCAACCCTTTCAATACTGAATAAATATGCCAACTCCTTAATTGGCCAAATCAATTTGTTATCTTTAACAAAAATAATTTCGTTGATGAAAATATGGTGGCCTTTAGTCTTATGTTGTCTTTTTTTCGAAAGAAAATTAATCCTCCATAAAAGGGCCATAAGAGATAAATGTAGTTAATAATTAAATTACTAAAGCGGGAGGGAATAAATACATAACTAAAGGACATCTTTAAAAGAATTGAAAGAAGAAAAAAATGCTAGAAGTTTAGAAAATTGCAACCTAAATGAACGTTACCTTCTCTTTCGAGCTAGGGGAGTAGAACTTGTTTGATTACAAGACCCTTTCTAAATAAAGAACTCACGAGATGAAGAGAAATAAAGAATGTTGGAAATTTCAATTGCAAATGGTAGTTAAAAGGAATAACTCAAAACATCTTGAAAAATAAATGAAAAACTTAACCAAAAACTAACGGAAAAGAATATTTAAGAGCTCGACAAAGTAACTACAAGTTTGCTGGACTAAAAGAAGCTAAACTAAGCTAATTTTTTTTATTAGATGAGAGGAAAAGGCTACTGCATCGTTGGAGAGGTAAGAAGATTAATTCATTTAGTTTTTAACCCATTTGACTGACCAATTCTGAACGCAATCCTAACCTCCCTTACTCAGACTGGCACATAAAGAATGTGGCAAAACATATTTTCAAATTTCATTAAAGGGCGTTATTGGAAGTTAGCAGGCGCTTGTTCTGTTTTTATGCCCAAAACCGTGTACTTTGTTATATTTTCACTTATAATTCTTGCAAAAGCTAATGTATACTCTAGTGAGATGATTATGCATGAATTAGACATAAAACCAAACTTTTAACAACCATTTCTAAGTAGAAATAAAGCTAAAAAGAACACAAATGAACTCCTTTTTACCCTTGTTGTAAACAATGGAAATCACACCCCAAACATGATTTTTTTTCTGGTCCTCAAGCAAACTTTAATCATTTTATACTCCCCAATCCACGTGCAAAACATAAGAATATCATCATAATACAAGGATAGACAATTCTTTCTCTCATATGTTTTATAAGGAAAGATATCAAAACTCTACCTTCTCCTATTCTCGTAAACCAAGTCAAAACAAGTTACAAACGATCAAAAGTTTCTAAAATTCCTTTCCTTTTTTAACTCAAAAACTTTTTAACAACACTAGAGAATTTGTACACTTTCGTTTTAGCCAAGACTTTTACATTAGGAAGACTGGCTACTAGCTACTAAGGTTTCCGGCAGACTTTCTCGACTTTTCACTATAACCACTTATAAAGGCCGCTTAAATAGTAACTGGTCATAACACATATACAATTAGTTGCACGAAAAGTTACTACAATCAAGGTTACTTATGGTCTGACCTTTGTTCCACCTCGAAAGTCTTTGTTTTGTGCTGTTCTTGCCCACCAATGACTTCATTGCCCTATTAAGGACCTCAATGATAGTATGAGTCAATTTCTGGCCTAATTTGAAGGCCAAGGTTGTGTCAATCAGACTTGATGGAAAAAATATGACAGTGCTGAATCGTTAGAGTAGTGTGAAACTTTGAGCTGCTCCTCTTAAAATCTAGTCACGTATTCTTTCAAGTTCTCGCTTCCCCTTTGGTGGACTGTCACAAGGTGAGATGTTAGATTCTCCATGTAATGACATGAGGAAAATTGGCTAATGAAGATCTTCCTGAACTGATTGTTGGTTGAGATTGACCTTGCAGGCAACTTTTTGTACAAGAGTCGAGCATTTCCATCCTGTGCTGTTTGGAAAGCTTTTCATTTGAGGGCATCAGTTGCCACTTGGAAGTCCATAAGCCCCTCGAAGGCTTCGACATAATCAATCTGATCACTTGACTCATCATAGGCCATCAAGGTCGACGTATAATTTGCTCGGGATAGGGGCATCCAAAACTTTTTATATGAATGGCGACTCGCTGGGTTTGCCATCATCGAGAGTTGGATAAGACGTGCTCTCGTATTTTTGCTTTAGAGCTTTGACTTTGGCGTATAATTTACTCTACATTAGTTTGAACTCTTCCTTGGTGATCAGACTTTGTAGTTCAACTAGACTTAGCTTGGATTGAGCTTTGTTGTTCAAATTGTTCCGAAGGTCTTCCCGTTGGAGAGCCCCACCTTGCATATTAGAGTTTTCACTTCTCGCTTAGTCGTTGAGGCTTTTACGTAGGTCGCCCTCTTTGTGACTTATGTTGTCATCATGTCCTGGGTGGACCCAACAACCTTGATTGCTCCCTTAGCGAGAAATATTGTCCATATCCTTAAGTTGACGAAGGCGATTACCGCCACCGTTAACTTCATCCTTATGAAGATACAGGTCCTCATTGTTTCCAGGTTGCCGACGTTAAAAGCCAGTTGGATCTTACTTGGTAGTGCGAGCATGGTTATTGTATGACTTTTCTATGGCCCACATGCGGCGTGCATCTCGTTCAAATTTACTTGCATGACTACAAGCACCTCTAGGTGTATTGGGTGAGTAGTTTTCCGCCAAATTTTCTTGATAGCTCCTCCTCAGTCTCGATTAGAAAAGGTAGGTTGTTAAGTGAGAATCGGTGGAAGATTGTTGGCAGCAATCTACGTGGTTGGTCTTCCACTAGAGGAATGAGTACCACATCGTTGGCAACTTTGGAGTTCCTCCTTGGCTCCGATCCCATTGCGGGGACTAGGGTTGCTAGAACCGGTCAAAACGGTGCGAGTCATAGCTTGATTCGATAAGACTTATTTAAGTGTCATTTCCCATAGACGGCGCCAATTGCTTATGCAACAAAAGTTGGTCAAGGTCGACCTTGTCAAGGTAGGCTGACTAGGAGAGCTTGGGTGTCCGAAATAATTGGATGTCACTTGGCAAGGAAGGACCTGCACAAGAGAACAAACACTATGATACTCAAGTCAGTTTCAGTTCGACCTTAGTATAGAGACCAAGCTAGAATGCGATACCTGACTGAAAAGTGAAGTGCCTTATTTATAGGTTGGTATCTAATAGGGGATCCAATCGGCAGTTGGACATGTTGAGTTGAAGGTCAGCCAGTCCGGACGTGTATAATATGGGTAGGAGACCATCATCTTGCTTTGGAGTCTTCTTGTCCAATTCTTCGTTAGTATGGAAGGTCGTTCGTGTGGGGAATGATTATTGAAGAGAGACCTTACGATCGGTCCATTCTTTGTCCTCCACGTGGCAAGGTGTTGGTCATCGCCTCCAACAATGTCCATTAGAATCTTGAGATATTAACCACCTTTTTTCATAGAGTGGTTTCATCCGTGAATGAAGAAATCAATTATTTTATTCAAAAGTTGTATATAGATCAGAAGGATCTTGTTGCCTCTTTAAAGCAAGCAAAATCTTCTAAAGTTCCTAGAGTGGATGGCTTCACAGTTGATTTTTAAGAAGAAATTTTGGAAGTTTATTTCAAATAATGTAATGGCTTTTTGTCCTATCACTCGTTGACATATATGTTAACTGTTTAAGACATATTTTTTACCAACCTTATAAACTGTTGAATAAAAAAGTAAAAATAATTTTTTGTTTTTCATTTTTCATCATATGTGCCTCAACTTTTTTTGTTCTTTTTTCAATTGTACTTAAAAAAATCCCCCTTTCCAATTTTAAATTTTAGTCACCTTTATCATTGCTTTTATTTTTAAGATAACAATGTTCTTAAGTAATCAATACTATGGACAATCTAATGTAATATCGAGGAAATTATCTTCTTGATTATGTCATTCATAGCTTTCAAAATTGTACACTTTTATCCCCACTACTTAGAAAATACTTCAATTTAGTTTCTAGTGTTGGGTTTTTCATTAACAAAGTTAACAGGGAAAAAAAATGTAGCTATTCAATAATAAATATAGATGATGTGACAATTTAAAATTATTGAAAATAATTATAAAAAACCTTCACTTCTCCCCGTTCATCCACACCCTCACCCCTTCTTCTCCTCTTTCCTTGCAGAGCTTGCCGCCACAAACGTCCAATGCCCCTATTGCTACCCGACCCGATGACTTCTCTCTCCAACAATTGGTATGAAATGAACTTTCCTCGTTCGTTCAAAATCTATTGAGGAACTTTTCCATGTCTTTCTCAAATATGGAATGAATAAAGAAGATTTATGGTTAGGGTTGGGGATGACAAATGAAAAATGCATATTTACAACAGAAAATAAGTAATAATTTTATTATTTCTTGTATATTAAAGTTTTAATGAAAACATTTTATTTATGTTTTAATTAATCATTTAAACATTGTTGAATTAATTATTTAATGTTGTAATTAATTAATTCATTTTATTTTGTAATATTTTAATTAATCAGTCAAGGCAAAACGTTTTTTTTTTCAATTTTCATTTTTAAACAAAACCAGGTCTTCTTCTTCAAGGGACATCCGATGAAAAAATTTGAACAAAATTCTATGAGCATGGTTTTTCGATTGTACCATGATTAGGCTCGGAACAAATAACTTCCTTGATGGTTTGCACGTCACATGAACAATTTTCTTGGAAATTATTTTTCCAACATCAATAGGTCTTCAAATCGTTCATTGGTCCTCCAGTATGAAGAAGTGCTCCCAATTGTGGCTAGTGATCATGGACTATATGAACTCTAGTAAATTTCCTATCGGAAATCCTTTTTCTTGAAAGACATTCAGGTGTTTGATCTCATTGAATCGTAAGGATGCTACAGCATAGATGAAGCGATTAAATGTGGTCTACTCCTGCAACAACACATTTTTTCTTTTTTTGCTTTTTATGTTGCTTCTCACTTGCTAGTTCCTGCACCGAAATATTAGCCTGTCGTTGTTCCTTAAATGGAACAACAATCTTTCCCTTTCAAGATTTACCCTTGTGAATTGAAGTCGTACTAGCGAACCGCTTGGGTTTGGCTAGAAAGGGAGAATGCAATATTGCAATGTCACTCTCGAGTCCTAAAAGTAAGATGTTCAGCTGTAGGTTCTAGAATAGACGATTGTGGCGGGTTCGCATCAGGCCTGTCCACCGCGGGGGCAACTTCCATCAGAACGTTCTATCTTGCAAAGAAGAATCCTCAGACTGCTTTACCTTTGCTGTGGTCACAGTGGTTGTGGGTCATTGGTTCGGATTTTTGGAGTCTCTCAATTGATGTGGTTTATACTTTCCATTGTGCAATAACACCTAGAAAAATGGTGGTGAAGGGTAGAGCACCAACGAAATCGCCGGAAAATTCATCTTTCCATGGATTCAACAACATGCCCTCTCCCTCATTACTATCGGGGTAGGAATCAGCGACTCAAATTTGTGGCCATTATCCTTAAATCTTTTATCGAGACATTCTGTCAAGGGGTAGGGCACAAATTTATGGGGAGTAGGGGTGGCAAAATTGAGGATCAACAAGATAAATGGTGAACCAATTAATTCTCTCAATTAATGTCCAACAGAAAATTGTTTTCCTTGCTGCCAATACAGCCCATAACTGCCATATGGTTAAACCTCAATTTCTGCCCAAGTTGATTCTATTTCTTGCTGCTTCCATTCCACAGTAGCATCCAACTCTCAGTCCATGCTCCAACATAATGGCGGACCTACAATTATGTTTTCACTTTTCGCCCTAGAGACCCCAAAGAAACAAAAGCTAACCTTAAGGTATATGACACAAGAAGGAATAAATAACAAAAAGGAAAAAGGAAAACCAAATAAACAAACTAGGAGATAAGTAAAATTTATATGAAAATTCATCCCAACCCCTTTTATTATATGGTCCAAAAACGTCAAACATCAATTACGTTGTGAAATTCATGATCTCTCACCACATCACCTCCCTAATAATGCTTTAAGCTGTGCCAATTAATCGTGAATTCCCTTCTTGAGCCATCCTCTGTGACCTTAATTGCTCCATGAGAGTGGACTTGTACAATTGTGAACAGTCCAAACCATCTCGACTTCAATTTTTCTAGGAACAACTTTAACCTCGAATTGAATAATAGGGGTATTTGTCATTCTTCAAAAATTCTAGGCTGATTTTTATATCATGTCATACTTTAATTTTTTCCTTATACAACTTGACAGTCTCATAAGCACTTTGCCGAAACTCCTCTGGCTCTATTAATTGGAGATTCCTTGCATTTCTCCCGACTGCATATAATATCAATTTATTTTCTTTAAGGTCCAAAATGTCTTGTGCTCCATCTTTAATGGAAGGTGGGAAGCTTTTTCAAACACCAAACAGTATGAAGATGTCTTAATGGGGTTTTATTGGATGTTTAATATGCTCATAAAGTGTCATCTAATTTTAGCGTCCAATCTTACGGCTTGTGTTAACCACTTTTGAAAGGATTCTCTTTTATCTGTCTATTTTAAATTTCTACCTCCCCATTTATGTGAGAACAATAAGGTGTAGACCTTATGCTTTACATTGTATTTTTCCATGTGCCAATGACTGGTTGGAAAAATTTAAAGCCAATCCATCTTCCAATCTTTAACGGAAGAGGATCCTTAACCTGCTTTCCCACATCACGCCTAGTATGATAAAATCTACCAAGGTGTTTGGATAAGGACTTTATAGTATAAATTGAACTCTGTTAGGAGCTAACTAAGCAACCAAGTAATATCCTCCAACCATTAGGAGCTAACTAAGTTGGTGTTAGATTGACCTCTGTTGAAAACTGTTGGACGAATGAGTGGAGGGGGCAACGAACCCGAACTCAAACATTTTGGGGTAAAAGATTGTGTACCCTTTAAAGGGATTCTCTTGTCTCTAAAGGGATGGAATCCCACAGTGAAAGCAAGTTATCGCTTTTGTTTGATTTTTCTTTGAAATCGAAAAACACGTAAACAAAATTGAGAAAAAAGGTGTTACCTTTGAAGAATTATTCTTCTCTGTAAAACCAATTGAGTACAGACACCACCACAAGATTACCTGCTAATCTCTGTACCTGTAAAGAATTGTGAGAGAGGTTATCCCACCTCATCACTCCTCCATTCTCCTGAAAAAAGGCATGAGGGTGGTGATGGAGAAAATACATACATGCGCAGCGAAAGTGAGCAATAATCGAAATAACAATCTAGATGCATAATACAACCTAGGATTAAACATGCATGATCATACATTATGATGCTTAGAGATAAGTAGAGAAAAATACAAACCTTTGTAGCTTTTCAAAAATCTTCAAATAGCTCCAATGAAGGACCACCAAGAGATCTTCCTAGCTATTCTCACGGCTTGGAATATAGTGGTGGGACTCTTTTTAGAGAAGGAAAAAATTAGAGAAAAGTGGAGCTAAAAGGAGTTATGTAAGCTTTTTGAAAACACATCAAATGGCCAAAGGTTCCAAGAGATCTTGATGTTTGAACAAAAGCCTTCTTAACTAGGCAAATTACATGCAACTCTTGCATGTCAAAGTTCATCAAAAGCTTACAACACATATTCCACTCATGCATGACATGACTAAGTGTCAAAATGCATGTCTAAGTTCACCAAAAGCTTACAACACACATTCCACTCATGCATGGCATGGCTAAGTGTCAAAAAGTGGATTTTTGAGATTATTTAAATGTTCCACTCAACAAGTTAGTGGAATTTTCCACCAACTTGGTTAAAAACATTATTTTAATCTACTTTAGTCAACCTTTGACTTTCTCTGGTCCAAGTCAACTATTTGATTTTTTCCAAAATCCGATGTTTGATGAAATCCATGCCTCCGATTATGAATCCACATTCATAATTTTAATATTTAAATCCTATTTAAATATTTTGTCCAAATTTCTCAAATTGATATCATATATCAATTACTTAATCATATCTCATATGATTAACCTAATTCGCACGATTTGAATTATTCCTTCAAATTATTCCAAGTTTATGCCTATATGAGCTAGCCAGGGAACCTTATGGACCTACAGATCATGAGCTCCAACGATCCGAGATTAACCGGTTAAACTCTTTAACCTACTTAACCAACAATCGTTAACTACGCGGTCACTCCACTAAAGCCCGTAGCTGTACTCTCCTCACTGTAGATATATTATGTCCATTTGGTATAACCATGATCGGTAAGTCGACCCTTCACAGGTTGTTCGTAATTACAGCTGGGTCAAAATACCGCTTTACCCCTGTAATTACCTCTTGTTCCT